TTGTCTCAGCTGCCATTGATGCCATTCACACATTCTCCAAAGCTTCTGGGATTTACCTGAATATTAAACCAGCTAACGCTGACCCTTTGTGATTCATATTCAAATATAAAAATCATCGCTACCAATGCAGGAAAATGGATGAGTCAAAATCTTTTTCAGAGGAAAATGAAAACAAATGTAGTCTGTGGCTTAAGATATATCTTTTATTAAATAGGCTTATGGGTAGTTACGGTGAGTAGAAATTATGTATTAGTTGATTTTGGGTCAGAATGTAAAATATATCCTTTAAAGTGAACAAAGTTTTGGTTCACTTTTAATGTTAAATGAATGAAAACATCCTGCTGTAATCGACTTTTACAAGCATAATTTATATCAATGAACATCTGAAAATGTCATATTCATGTTTATTCTGTGTTTGTTGTTGATAACTTACCGAGCAGCATTCAGACCTTTCCCCTGCTTTTTGTCTGCTGGCTGAAATCTGAGAAGCTCAGAGGCTCAAGAGACTGAGAATCGTGTGTGTGTGTATGTGTGTGTGCGTGTGGTGATGGTGGTTCCAGTGTTGTGGCTGGTTGAGTTTGATTTGAACAGCTGCAAGAGTCACAGCACAACATTAATATACCACACACTCACTAGCGCACACAAAACGCACACACACATATCTATATAAGGAATCTGTTCCTAAATCCGTCCCTGAAAATGTTCCCAGTTTTCCAGCCAGTAGATTTCCAAGAAGGTGAAACTGAAAACGAGATGAAAGAGTGCAGGAATATGGTCGTGTTGAGTGTCTCTGTGGAGATGGTGGAGCTAAATGTGTCCTGTGATGTCTTCTATGGTTCTCAATCAGGGTGTGTTCTGGATCCCCAGGACTAGGTCCACTACATATATAGACTGTAGCAGAAAATTTATTTTGTTTTGGCTAGTCACAAAGCAAAACATGCTATATATTCACATATTATGGCTTGCCATGCTACTACAGCGGTAGAAATAGACTATTATGCATTGCAACCTAACATCCAGCTCCTCCAGGAGAATCCCAAGCATTCCCTGGCCAGATGAGGGACTTAGTCCCTCCAGCGTGTCCTGGTTCTTCTTTTAGGTCTCCTCTTGCATGGAAAACCTCAGAGGTTAGATGCCCAAGCCACCTAACCTGGCTCCTCTCGATGTGGAGGCGCAGCGACTCTACCCCGAGCCCCTCCCGGATGACTGAGCTCACCCTATCTCTAAGGGAGAGCCCAGACACCCAGTGGAAAAAGCTAATTTCGGTCACTTGTATCTGCAATCTCATTCTTTCAATCACTAAAGCCCATGACTATAAATGAGGGTAGGAACGTAGATTGACTATAGTAAATCGAGAGCTTTGCCTTTCAGCTCAGCTCTCTCTTCACCACAACAGACTGGTACAACGCCCGCATCACTGCAGCCGCAGCACCAATCTACCTGTCGATCTTGTGCTCCATCTTTCCCACAAGCGTGAACAAGATCCAACCAAACAGAATATACTAATGCTGATGATTATAAAGTGATTTTGCATTTGTGGCAGATGCTTTTATCCAGAGAGACTAATGGTGCATTTGATTTATCTCAAGTTCAAAGTTGGAACTGGGAATGACATCACACTTGAGTTAACAGCGTTCTGGTTACCTTTGTCTGAGAAGTGTTGATTCATATATGGCAACGCCCTTGAAAGCTGTTTTGTCAACACTCTGCAAAAACAGATGAATACTAAACACATATGCCGCTCAACTGCAGCTTAGAATTGCAAGTGCTACTTGCAACATAGATTTTGAATAGAATAGATTATTAATCCCACAGTGGGTAAACTCACTTGTTGCAGCAGCACATACACTTAGAGTAAATGAAGAAAAAGGTAATTACAAGATTACAGGTAAATACACAAAGGCAGTAAGCTATTATTGTAATTTCAACCACTAAAAACAACAAATAAAAAGGAAACTTATGTTTCCAGAACTATGCAACATAAGGGACACAGCCATACTAATGTCCATCAGGTATTGCACACGTATTGAACACATACTGAATATTGGATTGATGTTATTTAACAGGATAATGCCAGTACCAGTTAAACTGAGGAGTTATACACTTACTGCAGAGGGGATGAATGACCTACAGTAGTGTTCTGTCTTACATCTGGGATGTCTCAGTCTGCCTCCGAAGGACTCGGCAGTGGAAATGCAGTGGGTGAGAGGAGTTTTCCATGATGGAGAACATCTCAGTGGCCTGGTGGTATGAGTATCCAACTAGGGACTGTGAGATCAAGGTTCAAATCTGGTCGGGTCACTTAAAAAAAGGGACCCAGTGCCTCAGCGCTTGACACCCAGGGGTTGGATTGGGGGCCTAAACCAACAAATGGTTCCCAAGCGCAGCCACCACCACAGCACACCGCTCCCCATGAGGATGAGTCAAATGCAGAGATGTAATTTCACCAGTGTGTGATGACTAATGGGACTTTTTACACTCTTATAAGTGTGTCTTGTAAAATACACACATTTCAACTACAACTTACTGTTGCTGATACCGAGAGCTGCAGTATTGTATGTCGAGGTAGGGGTTCTAAAGCTTTTCCAACTGGAAGGTCCGACATTAGGGGGTGTTTGAGTTGATTTTACCCACTCAAGTTGATTTCCGAGTACCAAGGACAAGTCGAACGCACCACTACACATTCGCAAACAGCAAAGCAGCAACAGTGGAGCCTAGTTGATTTCCTTTACGAAGACCTAGAGGTTATCTCAAAGGTTAATGATGAGCTCATTAGCAATCACCACTGAGACTAAGAGCTTGTTTGATGTTACTATGGAGGTTAACAATTAGCCAGTTAGAGGTTACCCCAGTCTTTCCTCCCCATCGCCAGAAATGTTCCCCCTCCTGCATCATCACGACTTAACACACCCACTCTTAGGGCTTTGAGATGTGGGTATGTCAGGGGTGCAGGGACAGTTTCCTTCTCGGCAGTTTTGTGGCACCCAGGGGTGGACTGGGACGAAAATTTGGTGCTGGCATTTTTATGCACTGTCGGCCCTCGGATGGGTGGGGATTTTGCGCTCCTCGCGGACTCGTCCCTATGCCGCCAAATGTGAAAGCCACAAGCTGGGCAAGCGGCCCACTGGGACAGTGCCAAAATGCCAGATAGGCCAGTTCACCCCGGGTGGCACCCCTATTTTAATTTGCAATTCAAACACTCCCAACTACAACATTCACCTAAATTAACACTCAGTGCCTTTGGGGTGAGCACACTCACCTTCAGGGGATCTGTGCACTCAAGCCGTTTTTACAAAACACTTCCGTCAGTTTGCTGCAACACTGACTTCCATGCCGCGGACTTCCATTTATCTTGGACATAACTTGCTTCTTATTGCGATAGGAGCCGTGCTCATTACGCTTTTTTAACAAGCCTCTTCTAAAGGTGTCTGTCCCCCACAGTACTCGTGCAGTCTCTAGTGATCTGACCTCCAGCTCTATCAGAGAGAAGCTCCAGGAGCTCTGCATTCCTCCAGATTATTATTTTACTGATTCTGTTTACAAAGTGAAACTTATGGACCATTTTTACTTTCATTTTCAATATAGTTGCTGGCTAGTGTTCGGCAGTAACTCCCCACGTGATCATGACACCACCCTCTGTTGCACCAAGGTGCAATCGCCGTTTATAAGACAGACAATTACCACAATATTACTACCAAGTGAGGCTAAATGAATGCTGCAAAACTTGCCATGCTGGCACAGCGTGTTTATAAGACACACCGTTGCTGACACAGTGTGTCTTATAAAAAGGTTGTCAGCCTCACCTCTGGTGCCGGTGCCCACTTCCAAATTTAAGCTGCGTGTGGACACTAAGGGCTCTAGACGGTGGTGAGAATGTGAGAGGATTTAGATTTGTTGCTTTGACGCAGCTGTAGACTAGGAGCTTTAGAGAGCCTTTGGCTTTATTCGTTCATTGTTATGCAGTCCTTTGGGTTTATACGTGTATTTCTGTTGTTCATTAACAGCACCCAACCTAATCTGTAACAGCTGATTGTGTTTACACTCACTGTGTTGTGGAATCAACTACAAACAGCAGCTGGATGGACAATAACAAAGATTTAGATCAGATCACTGGAGTTTATTTCAGGAATACAAAAATAAAAATCTGTACTTTATAAAATATACACTGTTGTAACTTCCTGTAAAGGTGGTATAAAAAACACAAACAACAAATATATAAAAGCCTTTTCACAACAAACATTTTCATCATCACCATTTATATTAAAGAGGACCCCCCCCCCCCCAACTCTTTCTTCACTAATTCAAATGAAATACAGAATGTTAACCTGAAGACAGAACAGTTAAATTTACATAAGATGCACTAAAATGCCTAAATAACTATTGCACTATTAGACACTCATTTATACAGATAATCAGCAAAAAATGAGTTGATTTGGAGGGGACTTGCTCTTCCAGTATAAACCCAGTAAATTCAAATGACAACTTAGGCTCCTGGATTATTTTGACTCATTAAAACAAATAGCCAGGTCACTGTCCTTCCTCGCTGTAGGCAGGGGGAGGGGGGTAATACACCACAGAGGCTCTCATGAAGAGCCCCCCTTCATCATCATCATCCTCTGTGCCGTCGTAGTCCTGGAGCAGCGGTGTGCGAGGTCCATTCATCATCAAGTCCCTGTAGATGTTGCTGTAGCTTGGGGGGGCAGAGGGGATGGAGGACCAGCTGCTGGAGGCCTGGCTGCTCATGCTGCTGGTTCTGCTGCCGACGCCGCTGAATGGGATGGTACCGATGACCAAAGGCAGCTCTAGGGTCAACTTCTCACTGCCAGGGATGTGTAGGTAGATCTGGAGTGGAAGGGTTAAATAAAAGTTTTAGAGAATCAGAAGGTTCTTCTGATTCCTCTGTCTGCTGGAAGCACCACAAGATCTCATGTTTTAGCTAGGTCCCTCATCTTCATCATTTCAGTCCCTAATGTGTCTCATGGTAGTTTAAACCAGAAAATCTGGAAGGCTGAGATAAATCTTAAAGAGTGTTGAAGCTCTTTAGCTATAAGAGAGCTTTAACAGGCAGCTGAGCAAGGAGGTAGTCAGGTGGAACCCCCCCCCCCCCCCCTCTTCAGGCACTCAAGGAGTACAGACGCTTCCCTCTTTCGCTCCCTTATCTTTTTCTCAAGGCTCTTTGTCCTGTCTGCCCACAGAGTGCTTCTCTGCATTTCTTCTGAAAAACTATTTTTACTAACCATGGATTTGACAAACTGATCATTCAATGCGATCGATAAGATTTTTTCAACAATGAGAACAGAGCAGGGGGCTCCCACATGTCCACAGGGGACACACCCGGTGAGATATATGTTGGATTCCTGGAAGGAGTGGAAGATCATATGCCTCTGCCAGCTGTCCATTGAGGACATCGAAGACGTGTGGATATTTGGTCTGATGATCACTGGATTTCTCCTGATTGGAGTGGTAGGATATCTGGTTTTCTGGAAATTTGGGAAGACGGAGCGATTGGAAGGGGACCCGCACCCATTGAAAGCACCGTCCGTGTGGAGACTTCTCAGACGGGGGCATTACTCGAGGTGAATCGTAAGCTGGACAATGTTCTAGCTGCGATACTGGTATTAGTGCGCAAAATAGATGTCATCTTGGAGGGAGTCACCGGACGGTATGGACAGGTTTAAAAACCCAAAATTGGCTTCACTGAAGGACTGGAAATGATCAGTTTAAAGACTGAAGGCAGAGAGGATAATTATCTCAGCCTGACCCAAACAAATTCTTGTTATCTGAATCTGACGCCCTGGTAGCCTTGAGCTGCAAGCAACTAAAAACCCCCACGAAGGAATGCAGACAGATGCTGTGAAAACCTGACCTACCCCCCACCCACCTTCGGATTGGTGGACTCCAGCCGGGCGAGGTCATCAACTGTAGGAGTCAATGTACTCTATGCTTCTCCCAAGATCTCCTTCCTACCTGTGACTGTTCAGTAGATGAGCGCCATAGATGGCTGCTCTTGCTGGGGGAAACGGGATCCCAGCCCCCCCCCACCCCCACCCCACCCCACCCCACCCTCCCACCCCCCACCTTCCTATTGGACTCTCATGTTATGTTGTGTTGTCTGAAGTCTGTTGCATATATGTTTGAGGTGTTTTTTTGCAGAGCAAAGCTGCCCTCCCAGCGGAGAGTAACTGTGATGTGCCTTCTTTCCCCTCCACCTGAACCAATCCTCATGTAACCCTTTTATCTCTATTAAGGTAGCGCAGATCGGGTTGCGAATGACCACAGTCACCAATTCTTGTCATGTGTCTTGCCCATGTATGTCTGATTTCTGAATTGTGTGTACTGAAACTCTAATTTCCCTCCGGGATTAATAAAGTATTGATTGATTGATTGATTGATTGATTATAAATGCCGGCTGGAGATCAGCACCAGTTTTCTGTGACCCTGAATGAGAACTAGCATGGATTGAATCTAAAGCCTTGAGGGACATTTAAGTTTCCTTTTACAAGGTCTGATTTATTTTCCCGTGAGCCAGCTATTACGACAATCCACACCCAAACCCAAGACGTCATCCAAGACTCACCAAGAGGGCGTATTCCACCTTGATGATGTCACAGCCGAGCAGCGTGGGCTTTAGCTTGGGGACCCTGATGGTCCGGCCCTGCCACATGTCGCACATCCCAGAGATGATGGGATTTCCTCGAACCGTTGTCAGTTTCTGTTGCAACACCTGCACAAAGAAAAGAAAAGTGTTAAGAACCTGGATGCCTCAGAACCTGAAGTTAGGCGTTTTGAACCTGTTAGCATGTGGAGCTGACCTTCTTGCGGCCATCAATGGTGAACGAGGTTCTGGCGATGATAGCGGCCTTCGGCACCACGATCCGGGAGCAGGTGTTTTCAAACTTGGCATTGATGTTGATGTCTTCTCCGTGGCAAAAGCCCGTCCTGTCAATCCGGGCACTGATGGACACCTGGCCATCAGGTATGAACATACAGGTGAGCTTCTTCTGTTTGGAGGCGGCAGCAGGAGCCTGGGGGAGACATAGACATCAGATAAGCTGTAATGTGCTGACTTGTCTACTGTTGGTTCTGATTAGTACTATATTCTGTACCAGCAGGTCCTCACGGTTAACATCCAGTGGTTCCTCCACCTCAAACTCCTGCTCACATTGCAAAGCCTGTTGGGAAGGCCTCTGCAGCTCTGCCCGGATGTAGTAGCGGACAGATCCAAACTTTCCTCTGAAGGAGGACACCAGACAGCTGCAAGCAGAGAAAAACTGGATCACAGAACCGATCTGTAAGTGAGAATTGATCAACTGATCAAATCCGACGCTCACCCTGCAGGCGGCAACTCGAACCCGAACCGGAAACTAAAAGATTTATGAGCTGGAAGCAGAAAGCAGCCATCAGAGTCTGGAGGAGAGAGAGGAAGAACACTTTTAACAAACCTACTTGAACCCTGACAAATTTAAACGTTCGGATAAGCCAGCCTCACCTCGGCTCAGCGCCTCCTCCAGCCGAACCTCCTCCTCATACTTCAGGTACTCCACTTCCCGGTTCCGGCTCCGGTGCCGACCTAACACACGGGCGCAGCCGACGGCAGTGACCTTAAGGCCGGTCAGCTTGCAGGGCGTGGCCGCCTCCAGCTCCACGAAACCGGACAGCTTGTCCCCGCCGCTGTAGAAGGTTCGAGCCGGGTCGGACAACAGCAGCCGAAACACTTGCGGCTTGTTGGCAGAAGACAGAACCATGGTACCGTTCGGAACGACAGGCTACTAAATTATAAGGGTGATAAAGTATGACCTGCAGCCAATTAGCTGATCGATCAGATTCAGTTCGAAATGTCCCGGTGTTTCTGCAGAAACCAGACTGAGGTCCGTTTTATACCGGACCCCGGGGAGTCCCGGTGTTCAGTTACCGGCACAACAAGCAGCACGTGCACGTCGAGTGCACCCGGCGAGCCTTCAGGACAGAGCTCTTTGATTGGCTTATCTCTGCCGCAACCCAATCAGAGCGCCGAGCGGGTGCGTGGCCAGCGTGTGAGGGGGCGGGGCCTAAACCTGGCGGGCCTTAAATGTCAGAAGAGCCCTCAGATGGGAACACACACACACACACACACACACACACACACACACACACACACACACACACACACACACACACACACACACACACACACACACACACACACACACACACACACACACACACACACACACACACACAAGGAAACCATTTATGGAAACCATTTTAATATTTATTTGGCAGATTGGATATGTCCCATCAAATAAATCTATGAAGCTCCTCATGATTTTTATCTTGACAGGTGCTATATAAAAATATATTTCTTATTTGTATAACGTGACATTCCAGAAAGTCATAACATTACTATCCATAAGGAACATTATGAAATTTATGAACAAATAAGATCACATTTTCCATTCATGTATATTCAGCAGCTCCTATCCACAAATAGATTCCTCCAGTCCAGAATGGAAACTGAAACTCTTCCATGGAGAAAACCATTTCGGCTATCTAATCTAGCTGTTACTAGTAATTATCTTCTTAGTAACATTGCTGAGTCACATTCTGTCACACTCTGAACTGGAAATTGTGATCCACACCTTCACACCTAGACTACTGCAGCCCAGTTTTCATTCGTATGAGCAAAACCAACCATTTACAGGTGGTTCAGAGAGCTGTTCTTGAGAAGGGCCTTGTGATTTTATCTTGAAAGGAGCTGTATAAAAACATCCTTTCTTCTTCTTCATGTGTTCTTGACCAAGACACCCCAAGCTGAGGATGTGATCTGTATGGAAACAGAAAGCTCTAACCAGAACCAGACCGTTCACATAGTAAGAAAAACAGTCACGCTATAAAAATCAACATTTTATTACAGGTAGTGAAGAATGGAGCAGCCAGTCAGCTGCCTCCTGCCCCCACCCAGATGGACCAGACATCCAGATGAAAACCACATTTGAACCAGATAAACAGCAGTCACTTCATGGTTATCATGTTACTATAGCAACATGATAGGTGGTCATCCGTGTTTGACCTATCATCACTCAATAATATGATAATCCATGTTAGCAAATAACAGATGGTTGCTAACTAAAATTCTACCTGAGATCTTGTTTCCAGGTGCTGAAACCATTTAATTCTCACTTGGTTGCAGGATCTTCAGCTGTAAAAAACTGTGCAAAAGTTTTAGACAGGTGAGAAAAAATGCTGTAAACAAAGAATGCTTTCAAAAATGGAAGTGTTTATTTATTTTAATCAATCAATAAAAAGCAGTGAATGAACAAAAGAGAAATCTAGATCAAATTAAAATCTGGTGTGACTTCGTAACAGCATCAATTCTTCTGGCTGCACTTTCACACATTGAAGGAACAGGACTGGTAGGTTGTTCTAGACTAGAACTAACCACAGATCTTCTGTGGATGTAGGCTTCCTCACATCCTTCTGTCTCTTCATGTAGTCCAGGCACACTCCATGATGTTGAGATGGTGAAAGCATTTTTTTTCTTCACAGCCTTTTTCGCACCTGCCTACAACTTTTGTACAGCACTGTGTATGTTTCTGACATGACTGGCGGAAAATAGTTATTGAGGAGTATAAATCCCTGGTTGTTGCAGATGAGTAGGAGAGGTTTTCAGCGCCAGCGATGGCCATTTCTGTATGCGAAGCCTGATGGCTTCACCTCTCAACAGGATGCAGAGCCTTGTTGTTTGCTTGTGGTTCCAGCCAAGACAAATGGTATCTGATGCTTAAACACATGAATTACATAAACAGGAAGTGACCATTTCCATAGAGATATTGAGAATCAGGATGATGTTTAAATAATTTATTTCTGAGGAGGAAGACCTGATGATGAAGGTGGGTTCAGGTCTCTGACACCAGATCAGAATACTGATTATAAACCCATCAAAACGAGTCTGAAAACTGACCCAGGAACAGTTCCTTCAGCCCTCCCATCACAAAGAAAGGCAACATAAATAAACCAGTCTGTGGCTGAAGAAGCAGCAGGTCAAAGGTCAGCAATTCAGTGACATCACAATGACCTTTAACTTGAAAACCCAAGTTCATCCAGCCTTAATATTCCAAATGTCATCTGTTCAACTTCTGATCATACCTGCAGGAGAGAAATAGAGTAATGAGACATAGACACCTGAGACATTTCCCTGCCGTTGCTTATTGAGTTTAAAATGGTTGCTTTTCTTGAGGGGGGGGACGTCCAACCAGTATCTGTCAGCGCGCACTGGAGAGTGCACAAGAGGTTCTAGTGTGGTTGCTAAGCTGTTGCTTGGCCAAATCTTGTCGTATCCTTAGCAGCCCCAACCTACTGCCTGGTGCCATTCATGGTGGACAGAACCAGCAGAACTACTAGGATGTATAGAACTAGTAGAGCCAACAGAACCAGCAGAACTAGTTGGATGCATAGCTGTAGTAGGAGCAACGGAACAGTAGTACTAACAGAACCTGCAGAACAACAGAACTAGAAGCAGCAGTCAGAGGTTTCTTACTCCTGGATTGCATCTGGGATCTGTAGTCTCTCTGTGGGGATAATCTGGCCGAGATGCTGAAGACTCTGAATGAAGCGAATCTTTCTGCTGAACTTGTCACTGTGGAGGTGGATAGGGTCAAAAGTCAGAGGCTAAATCCCACAACAGGAAGTAAATTATACTCAGTACTCAGGTGTTTCAGAGTTTAGTCATAAACTGTGTTTGAACGCTAGATGTTTGTAGGTTAACAAATTAACATGATAATGGATTAACAATGATAATCCAGTACTTTATCATTTTAATACTTTAGTCAAAGTGAAGTACAACAACATAAAATACACAGTAAAGAAAATCAACAGCAGAACTCAGGTCTGTTCAACAGAGACAGTTAGAGCATCTCCACGTGGGCTGGAAGGAACTCCAAGTATTAAGCTGTGTAAAAAAACTAATGAGGGAGGCTAAACTGAGAAAAGGGCTTCAGTTTTTAAGGCAGGACTGGAGCGATGGAAGAAGATAATATGGTTTGATTAGTCCAGATTGACCCTGCTCTAGAGTGATGGAGGCATCGGAACTAGAAGAGAGGCAGATGATGGTCATGCCTAGTGCCTACTACCCTGTAGGGAAATATGTGATCTGGGGTTGCTGCAGTGGGTCCAGTCTAGTTTCAGCAACATTATGAGGCCAGCTCAATGACCAGGACAAGGTTATTCCATCAGTGGATTTCTTCTTCCCTAATGGCACAGGTATCCAAGTCCAGACCTAAACCCCATCGAGAATCTTTGGGATGTGATGGAAATGGCTTAGAATGGTGAATGGTAAATGGCCTGTATTTGATATGGCACCTTCTAGAGTCCTGTAACCCCCCAAGGCACTTTACAACACAATCAGTCATTCACCCTTTCACACACACATTCACACACTGGTGGGGATGAGCTACGATGTAGCCACAGCTGCCCTGGGGTGCACTGACAGAGGCGAGGCTGCTGAACACTGGTGCCACCGGTCCCTCCGACCACCACCAGCAGGCAACATGGGCTAAGTGTCTTGCTCAGGGACACAACAACAGCGACAGACTGAGCGGGGCTCAAACCTGCAACCTTCCGATTACGGGGCGAGCACTTAACTCACACACACACACATTTATATAAATGACATTGTTGAGGCATCCAATATATTAAAATGCACCTTATTTGCAGATGATACAACTTTTTACTATTCAGGAGATAATGTTGAGCAGATGATAGAAGTGATACAAACAGAGATGAAAAAAATTAAACTATGGTTTGATGGAAACAAACTATCATTAAACAGTGATAAATCCTGTTTTATGATATTTAGTAATACAAATTCAAATGATGAAATTTTATTAAATATAGATGAGATTAATATTAAAAGAGTTCAAGAAGTCAAGTATCTGGGAGTCATCATTGATGAAAAAATGTCATGGAAACTACATATAAACAGTGTCAAAACTAAAATATCTAAAACGATTGCACTGTTACATAGAGCAAAAGGGTTGCTTGATAATAATTCATCATATTTGTTATATAACTCACTGATCATACCATACCTGAACTACTGCATTGAAATCTGGAGAACAACATATAAAACTTACACAAATTCCATTTACATCTTACAGAAAAAAGCAATAAGAATAATCACAAGGAGCAACTACAGAGATCCGTCCAATCCATTATTTATTAAATTAAAAACACTAAAATTCTATGATCTGGTGGACTACAATATTTTAAAATTTATGTATAATGCAAACAAAAGGAACGTACCTGCAGAATTAATTAAACGATTTTCAAAAAGACATAGCAAATGTGATTTAAAGGGACATGAATTATTTAACATGCCTAGACATCGGATACTCGTAAAGGAACATTGTGTCTCCATATATGGAGTTAAATTGTGGAATAAATTCAATACTGAACTCAAGAATGCAAAAACAATATTGACTTTCAAAAAAGAGATAAAAAATAAAACGATTAACTTATATAGATCCGTTACATAAATGTGTGAGGGGAGGGGGGTGGGGGGGATTAAAGGAACAAAATATTAACCTAGTATGTGCTTGTATGTGTATATATGTATGTATATAGATCTGTAACTTAATGCTTCTTTCTGTGTAAATTGTTTTCTTTTTCTATTTTTTTCTCAAATTCATGGGTTGACATTTTGTCGGCCAACAGGTCCAGGAACTATATTGTTCAATTTCTTTAAGAATCATGTGATTATTTCATTTGTATTAATGTTATTTTAGTTAAAAGGGGCAGACAACATAAGTTTTTCTTCTTTCTGTCCCCTTTTTCGTTTTGGCTTGCAGCAATTTAGTTCGATTGTATTTTTATTTTAATGTCAATAAATGAAAATAAAAGATAAAAAAAAAACTCCTGTGCCACTGTCGCCCCAAGAAGAAGAAGAAGAAGAACAAGAACAAGAAGAAGAAGAAGAACAAGAACAAGAACAAGAAGAAGAACGAGAACAAGAAGAAGAAGAAGAACAAGAACAAGAAGAAGAAAATATAATTTCTATAGCGCCTCTCAAGATAAAAATCACGAGGCGCTTCACAAAAACAAAAAATGTAAAAATATAAAAAATAATTTAGAAAATGGTTAAAAATATATTTTAAATGAGCAAAAATAGACTATTGTGATTAAAAAAATGTTGAGAGAGTGAACAGGAAAGAGGGAAATCAGTGGATCCTGAGGAAGGTGGAATAGGTGGAGAGAGCAAAATAAAGAGAGAGTGGTGAAGAAGGTCATACAAAAGCCAGCTTGAACAAGTGAGTCTTCAGCTTTTTTTTAAAGGAGTCCACTGAGTCCACTGATCTCAGGCTCAGGGGGAGAGAGTTCCAGAGTCTGGGGGCCACAGCAGCAAATGATCTGTCACCTTTGGTCTTTAGCCTGGTGCTGCACAACCAGTAGGCTTTGATCACTGGACCTCAGGGACCTGCTGGGGGTGTAGGGACTAAGAAGATTACCAATGTAAGATGGTGCTTGTCCATGTAAGGCCCTATAGACCAGAACCAGGATCTTGAAATGAACCCTGAAGTTGACTGGCAGCCAGTGAAGCTGGAGGAGAAGCGGGGTGATGTGGGTGTGTTTGGAGGACTTGGTCAGAAGCCGAGCACAGGCATTCTGAACCACCTGTAGACGGTTCAGGGAGGTTCTGCTCAGACACGTGAAAAGAGAGTTACAGTAGTCTAACCCCGGGTTTCCACGGGAGCCGTCAGCAGCACGTTACTGCAGCAGCACGTCTTGCTCGCGTAAGCTGCTGCTTGGCCCTTCCCACGAGACGCGAAGCAGCAGGGCAGCAGCTGTCACCGACAGAGCACGAAGTCACACGAGTGACTTTGTCAGTAAACACAACAACAAGCAGGAGAAAATTACAACATGGTTTGTGTTTTATGTTCTGTCCGTTTTATAATCGCCAATACGGACCTGAAAAACAAAGGAGAACGCTAGCTATGTGATGACTTCTCACGGGGACGCACAGTTAGTAACCTTTTTTAAAAGTACAGCAACCGGAAGGCAGTACGTTCTTTATTCTGAAAATCTCTGAAGCTTCTTTCCGTTTCTGCGTCCGATTTCCTGTCTTTCCTTCCCCAAAAATGTCGAACTTGACCCGTTTCAGAGGCGTCGCGCGTAGAAAATAGAACCAGAGCATAAGGGCCGCGACATGCTGCTCCTGAGACGCGGCCGACTCGCGCTGCTGACGGCTCCAGTGGAAAGGGTTCTGTTGACCACAGCGGTTCCTATCAGCAGCTATGACGTGCTGCTGCAGGAACGTGCTGCTGACGGCTCCTGTGGAAAGCCGGGGTAAGCGTGAGGAGATGAAGGTGTGGATAACTGTCTCAAGTTCAGAGCGGGACATAATGGGACTCAGCTTAGAAATGTTCCTGAGATGGAAGAAGGAAGAGCGAACAAGAGAACTGACATGAGAATCCAGGGTGAGAGCTGGGTCAAAGGTCACACCAATATTTTTGACGGAAGGTTTGGTGTGAGAAGCAAGCTGACCAAGAGAGTCTCTGACTTTGGGAACCAGCTTGTCTGGGGCACAGATGAGGATCTCAGTCTTATCTTCATTCAGCTGTAGAAGCTCCCAGCCATCCAGGTTTTGATAGAGTCTAAGCAGGTGTGTAACAGCTGCAGCTTAGACATCTCATGGGGCTTAGGAGATGTACAGTTGGATGTCATATGCATAAAGATGGTAGGAGATTCCTTTGATGGGGCTCAGGATGTGCTGAAGAGGGAGCAGATAGAGGAGGAAGAGCAGAGGCCCCAGCACAGAACCTTGTGAGACACCATGGGTAAGGGAGGTGGTGGAGGACCTAAACTTGGAGACGGCCGCAGAAAAGGAGCGCTCAGAAAGATAAGAGGAGAACCACTCCAGAGCAGTTCCTGATAGGCCTACCCAGTCTCTCAGCCTCTCCAGTAGCAGGTGATGGTCAACAGTGTCAATGGCTGCAGTCAGGTCCAGCAGGACCAGAACACAACAGTCCCCTGCATCACTGTGAGTCAGAAGGTCATTACCCTTAGAAGAGCTGTTTCAGTAGAATGAGCTCTACAAAAACCTGACTGTAAGCAATCATAGATGTTATGTTCATCAAGAGCAGCTGTGAGTTGTTTAGAATTGAATTGAATTCTTAATTTTCATTATGCATACACATAAAATTTGGTTGGTAGCTCTCAGCTTAAAGGGCACTAAGTCCACAAATAGAATGATAAAAACATGAAGAGTAAAACAAAAAAAGAACAATACATAACCTTCTCTTTAGGGAGCCATACACACACTAGTAAAATGAGTAAAAAAGCTGAATAATTTAAAAGATGTAAAAGATAAATGTTGCACTGACTGACATTCTGATCGTACTGATCGAAATGTTGATTGATATTATTGCACTACTTGTTATTGCACATAGAAGATTCAAGTGTGAACAGGACAATAGCAGCATCAAAAAACAGGATAATTGTAAATTACAACCAACCCATCATTAAACGTCAAATAGTCTCATGGGTCATTGGTTGGGAGTGTAGGTATCTGCAGGGTCACAGAGGTGGGGGGAGGATCACAGGAGGGGTGGGGGGTTGGGGGGGGGGGGCAGATGGCTTTAACAGCTCTAGGGAAGAAGCTGTTCCTCAGCCTGGTGGTTGTGGCCTTGATATTCCTGTAACGTTTCCTGGATGGTAGCGGCATAAACAGTTTGTGACCTGGATGGAAGGAATCAGCAGCTATACGGTTAGCCTTCCTTTGTAGTCAGATGGTATATACTGAGTCCAGATCTGGTAGTGGGCTCCCCACGATCCACTGAGCAGTTTTCGCCACACTGGCCAGGTCTTTTTTTGTTCTGTATGGTACAGCTCCCATACCACACTGTCACTCTGAGTGATAGGATGCTCTCAATGATGGCCCTGTAGAAGTTCTTTAGCAGTTGGGGGGAGAGACTGACTCCCTTCAGTTTCCTAAGGAAGAAGAGTCTTTGTTGGGCCTTCTTTACCAGTAAGGAAGTGTTCAGTGACCAGGTTAGATCTGAGGTGATGTGGATGCCCAGGATCCACATCACCTAGCCACAACATTTTCCAAGATCTTGGAGATGAACGGAAGTTTAGAGATGGGTCTGAAGCTGCTATGGAGAGGGGTCAAGACTCGTTTTTTTAAGAAGAGGGTGGATTACAGCATTCTTAAAGTAAGCAGTGGATCGGCGCACCTGTCAGGCTTCCTTAAAATGGCTCCTTTCAACAGGAATTAGCCAACAGGCAGGCTGATATTTGTTTGATACAATGAAAATTTATTTGGGATAATTTAAATGTTTCCATTAAACGTTCCCCTTAGATCTGGATCATTGCAGCAACCCCTAAACTTCATGCAGCTGTTTTGGATGCATCAAAGATTATTGCCTTTTTCCTCTTTGCCTCCATCAGACCATTTTGTTTTGTGATTGTTTTTTTATATGAGCGGTGATCGTTCCGTGGCTCAGCAGCTCACTAGTGGAAAGGCAATAAAATGCTTTTCTCTGCCTACATCACCTGCACAAGCACCTCTATTTCAGTTTCAGTTGCCATGGTTACCTCTGAAAGGCCATCTATCCGCCATCTTATATATAGTTGGATGCAAAAGTTTGGGCAGCCTTGTTAATATTCGTGATTTTCCTGTATAAATCGTTGGTTGTTACGATAACAGCTTCCAGTTGCATATATCATGTTGGAAATACACTCAATGATATTTGAGAAGTGAAACGAAGTTTATAGGAGTCACAGAAAGTAAGAGATTTCAGCTTCTGTTTCCACAGTTAGGAACATATTGAGGAAACGGAAGATCACAGACACAGTTCAAGTTAACCCTTACCTCACATTAGAGCATTTTTTTGTGCTCGAATGGCTTTAACGTTAGAAAATTTAAACGTTGTTTAAGGGTTAAGGCTCAAAGTGGCAGAATAAGAAAAATCTCAGATAAACAGAAGTGAAGAATGACGTGAACAGTAAGAGTTGACTGCACCAGCACCAGCACCAAAGACCTGCTACATCATCTTGCTGCAGATGGAGTCACTGTGCTTCATTGAACTATTTGGTGCACTTTACACAAGGAGATGCTGCACGTGAGAGTGATGCAGGGGAAGCCTTTTCTCCACCCACAGCACAAACAGCAGCTTCAGGTAAAGCACATCTGAACAAGCCAGCTTCATTCTGGAATAAGGTGCTGTGGACTGATGAAACTAACATTGAGTTATTTGGACATAACAAGGGGTGTTATGCATGGAGGAAAAATTACACAGCATTCCAAGAAAATCACCTGCTACCTACAGTAAAACATGGTGGTGGTTCCATCATGCTGTGGGGCTGTAACCAGTGCAGGGACTGGGAATCCTGTTAAAGTTGAGGAACTCATGGATTCCACTCAATATCAACAGATTCTGGAGACCAATGTCCAGGAATCAGTGACAAAGCTGAAGCTGCACCGGGGCTGGATCTTTCAACAAGACAATGACCCTAAATGCTGCTCAACATCTACTAAAGCATTCATGCAGAAGAACAAGTAGAACATTCCAGAATGGCCATCTCCCCAGACCAGAATATTATTGAAAATCTGTGGTGTGAGTCACAAGCCATCACACCTGAATGAACTAGAGATGTTTTGTAAAAAATGGCCCAAAATACCTTCAACAAGAATCCAGACTCTCATTGGAAGCTATAGGAAGCATTTAGAGGCTGTTCTTTCTGCAAAAGGAAGATCTACTAAGTATCGAGATAAATTTTTTTTGGTGCCCAAATGTATGCACCTGCACACTTAGTTTCACCACTGAAATATCACTGAGTGTGTCTTCTATATGATATATTTAACAGTTTTTTTTATCAAACCAACCAACAATTAATATAGGAAAATCATTTAAATTAACAATGCTGCCCAAACTTTGCATCCCACTGTATACGCAGAGTGCTTTTCATTGACCATTTATGGCAGAAAGTAGGTGTCTTGGAGGTGAGATATAATCCAAAATCACCTGAGTACGTTTCTAGGAAGAGTGTGGTTTATAAAGCAGGAATTGTGTGTGGTTGTGCATAAGCAGTGTTTTATAGATCTGAAAAAGAGTTTGCACAGGTATTGTTTTGCTGAGCTTAAGTGGAATTTTAGTAAGGATTCTATGTAAAGTTTTGTAAACGAGGCCCTGGTTTCTACACATGGCTGACTTTATCCTGTCCTAATCAGTAGATAACTGGGCCTCCAGCCACTGATGAAAGAGACATTACAAAAACACCCTTTCTGGATGTGTGCCTCAGACATCACCTCTGAATTTCTTGTGAAAATAGCTGCAAGTATGGTGGGTGCAGCTGTATTATTGCAATGTTGCTATGTGTGTGTGTGTGTGTGTGTGTGTGTGTGTGTGTGTGTGTGTGTGTGTGTGTGTGTGTGTGTGTGTGTGTGTGTGTGTGTGTGTGTGTGTGTGTGTGTGTGTGTGAGTTCTTCAGACCTGATGAAGGGTTTGACCACTGTTATTATAGCTTTGATGTACCAAGCAGGATGAACCACTAGCAGTCCCTTCAGGTCCTTCTTCAACCTATACAGACAAGACACTGATGTCACTACTGTTGCCATGCATATGGGATGTAATCTCTGGCACTTTTCCCCTAGCTCCTACTCAGCACAGCTCGACTTAGCACTGCTCTACTTTACAAGTTTTGGGTCGTTTTCCATTACAACTGAAAATCAACTCTAGTAGGTTTTTTGCCATAGAGTCCAAAAGGTAGTGTGAGGTTATTTGACCACAACACAAAACAATGCAAAAATGGAGGACGTGGTAGCGACTTCCTTCTGCTAAACCACAGATCTGTTTCTAGTGGAAATGCCTTGGAACTTTGCAGAGCTGAGTCAAGCTGCACTGAGTAGGCACTAGTGGAAAAGGACCATAATAACATAGTAACAGTTTCTAAGCAGACAAGTTAAAGGATCCTGGGTCAGAACTCCACCCGACAGGGCTGCACTACTTAGAGAAATGTTCATACCTTCTGTCGATGGAGGTATAGCATTGATGAAGCCATTTGATGGCTGGCAGTTTGTTTCTGGGAGCCATGGCACACAGGTAAACCAACACATAGTTCTCTGAAACCATTAAGTCCAATGTCCCAATAATGTACCTGTTAACAGAGGCAAACACGGTGGTACTTCTGAGTTCAGGCGTTTCACTAGATCTGTCATTTCATGCTCTTGTGTCATCCCTTTTCTTACTACAAATCCAAACCCACCTAAATAGGTTGTCCATGACATAGTCATAGTTCTCCACTGTGCTCTCTGGCAAGTAACAAGAAGTGAAAAGGATGATAGCGTTCATCCCGTCTCCATAATAGCCTAAGAAAAAAACAAGACATTTGACTTTGAACCTGTGCACAGTGCACACCTGAGTTTTAGGTATGTTCCAGATGTGTTCATGGTGTGCATGGCATCTCTAACCTCCATGTGATAACACCTGCAGGTACGGCTCCAGAACGCTCATGTTGACCCGGTATTCATACCCTGAGATGCAGAACTTCCTCCAACGGCGCCCTTTGCTGTCCACCTGGTCTAGCTCCATCAGACCCTCAGAGTGCTCCACTGGGCTACTGGCCACACCCACAGCCCCACCCTTCTCCATCTGGGGGAGGTCATCTGTAAGAAATAGATCATAGGTCAGCTAAAAACAGGAGGAGTTTTCCCAACTTAGCCTCCATGTTTTCTCACCTTCCCACTCGAGTTCATGCATGCTATCTGGTAGTGTTCCTGTTTCACTGCCCGATGGTGTCTCCAGAGCTTCCAGGTTTATGTCAAGTGATGGTGTGTCATCTGGTGTCCCTGACAATGCTGCTGCCGAGAAGCTGTCAGTCTTGTCATGTGAGTCAGTGTGACTCAGAGTGAGGTTAAGAGCTGGGGCCGCCAGACGCTTTTTAGCCCCCCTCTCACCTGTACACAAGGCCAGACTGGTAGACGGTGCTGAGGGAGAGTAGAGGTCAGAAGTCAATTTATGGAAAACATGGCTCAAGCAGTGGCACCCCCAAGGGATGGCCAGTGGAGGCCATGGCCCCCTTAAAAATTTGTTTGTCTACCACTCTAAAGTGAAAGGGGAGGGGCTACAGTCTGATAAGCTTTTGTCCACTTTCAATATCATTTTTTATAGCACTTCATTTAAACCAGGGTTGCTCCAAAAAGATTTGAAGTAACTTATAAGACTTCTACACACACTACAGGAACAGAAGGATCAAGATATTGATCTAACTGGAGTCAAATGCCAAAGAGCATAAATGGAGGAGATTTTTAGAAATGACCATGGTCCTGAGCTGATCTAATGTGAAGAGGCAGGTTGTTTCAGAGATTAATGGCAGCAACTGCAAAAGCACGGCCACCTCTGTTCAATAATCAGGAACAGTGAAGTGCATCTTCCTATTTGAGCTAGAAAGAGAGCAGAGAAGTAGAAGGTAATGGTCATAAGGTGGGGACAGACCGAGAAGCACCTTGAACTCAAGCAATAACCCCTTGAAGATAATTCTGTACTGGATAGGGAGCCAATAGAGTGAAGCCAGCACCAGTATTATGTGTTCATGCTTTTTTTTGTACCTGTAAGGAGATGAGTTACAGCATTTTGTATGACCTAATGTCCCTGGTGGAGGGAGGACTGACTTCAGTCTTTATATAAGGAATTGCAAATAGATGAGTTTTTCAAAATCATTGGGAAAGAAGCTGGTATTTGTCTGGGATGAAAGAAACTAACTAACTAACCAAACTGATTTGCTTGTCAAAATAAGGGAGGAGTCGAATGTGACTCCATGTTTTTCATAGAGAAACGACTGAATGGTGTTAAAGGGAGTACTTGCCCTAACCCTATCAACAAGATGACTTCTGTTGTATTTTTGTTAATATGTAGAAACACTAAGTGTATGAGCAAGTCACCGTAATAGAAAATACATCTGAACATCATCAGCGAAGCAGTGGAACTGCCTATTTTCTGAAGATAAATCCAAATGGCAACATGTATAATTGTCATGTTCTGCGGGTGGAGGTGGCAGACCATGTGTGGTGGTGGTTTCCAGGAGGCAGAAGATCAGGCAGACGGATGAAAAATAAAAAGATGTTTAATTGTAGACTGGGAGCAACAGGACGAACGAACATGCACAAACGACAATGAACCGACAAAGACAGCAACAAGGAGGGAGCTATAATTACACAAGGGAATCAGGAACTCATGGGCAGAGTAATCAGGGACAGGTGAGAACAATTAGGCTAATAAGGGCAGGAGAGACACAGTCAGGGAGGCCGGGTGGATCATGACAATAATGAGAACATGAGAGGGTCAAGAATTAAACCCTGAGGAACTTCACATATCAGAGGCGCTTGGTCTGAGGAACACTGATCTATCTGAACAGAGACGGTTCCTCTGTTAAAGGCAGTTCCTCTGATACCTACCTAGTGTGTGAGTTGAGACAGGAGAGAGTCATGATTGGTGACAAAGCAGCACTTAGTTCTAAGAGGATCGAGACAGCAGAATTTCATGAATGAGCAGGCAGAAGGATGTTGTAGTGCTGTTTCTGTTGACAAAATTAACCCAGACTGAAATTTCTATCAGAAAATCTTACGACTGATTCTGGGTTATTTTCTCCAGGATCTTGAGCCAGAAACGTGGTTTGGAAATGGGGTGGGAGTTTGCCAGAACAAAGCTGTTTAGATCTCTCTTTTTAATAAGAGGTTGCACCACAGCGTGTTTAAATGTGAACCTGAGTTCTGTTCCAACCACGTTTTACCACAAAGACTGAATGATCTAACAATATTAAAGACATTCTTCAGTACGCAAGCAGGGGCGTAGTATGATGTAGTTTTTAGGACTAAGGTGTTGCACTGCCTCATTCAGCTGAGGCAGAGTGAGATGCTGTAATGTGAACACAATTTTTGAGAAGAAAGAAAAAGAAAATGGGTTAAATTACGGTGGGGATTGTAATCACCTTCTGTTTTATAGAAAGTTATTTTTTTCCAATCTTAAAATGTAAATAAATCAGGAGAAATTCACCTTGTTCACTGGATCCTCCTACTGGACTCACTGACTCCTCTGGATCTCCACCATCCTCTGGGAGGGGCCTGACCCACCAAGACAGAAAAGTAACATAAGGTTAGGTTTCTGAGTTTAGGTGAATCCCAATTTCCTTCTTAATGCAGGTAGGACTTCACCAGGGACCTGGAGCTCTGGTCCTCAACCAGAGACCTATGAGGTTCAGGGTTCTAGGTATCTTAACCATTCATAGAACTGCACTCTTCTGGATAGAGATCTCAAGTTGTTTCCTGGGATCTGTTGGAGCCTCCTTCAGCTGGACATCAAAGCCCTCGTTATTCTGGTGACCACACGACCTACGGAGGTCTTCTACAACTTTTCCATTTCCTCTTTCAGCCCTTTGGAATCCCAGCAGCTTCTAATGTTCTTTCTTCCAGATGTTCCTGTCACTTAGGATGTCTATGTCCATCACCACTCCCTTGTTCTGCAGTATGTTGACCACCATGAGGTCTGATCATTTAGCCATTTTGTTTGTCAGTCTGGATCTGAAAGTCCCACAGCATCACTGTGGGACCTCCAGTCCATACTGGGCTAAGTTCTTCCTGTACGCCATTTCAGCCACTGGGTTATGAAAAACCATGTTCGTGTTCCCCGCCTGCCTTGGGCTCTGTATGGTATGGTTGTTCTTGTTCTGCCATGAGCAGAGTTTCTTTCTCATCCTTTTCTAACCACTGGTAGGGTTCATGGAGATCAGCCCCTTCCTCCATCTGCCCTACAGGACCTTATCCATCCATGAGGGTTTATCCTGCTCTCCCTCCTTTGGGTTTCTGCTTTCTGAAACATCCGCTCAGTAGTTCATTCCTGGGGGCTTTCTTGATGATGTACCTCAGGATCCCAGTTGTTCCCTCCTGTAGAGTGACTCTGACCCTCACTAGTCCTCAGCCTCCCTTATTTCCTTGCTTACAGGTTGAGTTCATACCTGGGGAATTCATCGTCCTGCCACTCCTCCCTCAGCTCCAGATCTTGGATGTTTGGGGCCCCCGAGGCCCCAGGAGCAGGCCTGTAGGGTCCAAACATACACAGTTAAAATAGACTGTAATGTCCAGTAATGGTCAGTTTTTAAGTACAGTTTGACCCTTCAGTATCTGGTCAAAAGGGAGTCACAAGTCTGCATGTGTTTCTTTTAATCTGCCTGCCTTCATCCCATCAGTTGGAGTTCAGAGCCTCTCTGCAGCTCTGAACACATGATAACGTATTGTCAACAATGATGTTCCCCCCTCAAGGCCTCAAGCTTCCCTTATTGTTCTCCAGGATTCTTCATGCCTCTGAATAAAGTGAACACTTGCAGCTCGGATTTGTTGCTTAATCAAAGAATGAATTCTTAAATATAATGTGAACTTTTAAAACTTATAAGTTAAATAATCATTCAATAAATGTTTGTTTATTGTCACTTATAATAATTATAATATAAATGAAAGGCTTTCATTAATCTGCGCTTGAATGACTGAAGATTGAAATGAATTTTTTGTTATGATTACATTGATTTATGGATGGATCAGTAATGTTGATATGACAAGGCCATCACCATCTATCTACACTCACACAAGGACAAAGTAAAGTTAAGTCAAACGCGTGACACATAGATATTTCTTTACCCCAGATCAGAGCATCCGGTATCTGAAAGAAGGCGTGTTTTCTGAGGTTGTCTTGGCAATATTCCTCAACATGTCAACCTCCGGTTGGCCACACAAATCATAACATGAGAATATTAAAACAGAATCACTCTGGTGATTCAGCAGTTGCAGTTCCAGTTCGAGTTCCAGCTATCATCACTCAGCATTCAGTTCTAGAGGAAGCTACGGAAACGGCCGTCCGTGGTGAATTCTCTTTAACTAAGAAGCAGCCTTGACGCGCCGTCAAGGTTGTTGCAAAGCTGACACAGCAAACGGTTCCTGCAGAACAAAGCTGATTTTGTTCGGACTCCTTGAGAGCCTAGACGCAAACGGTTCCATCCAACCTGTGTGCCTGGCGACATGTCTGGACCGGAGAAGTCGGCACTGTGGTCAATCTACAGGACCTGGGTGCTCAGAGCAGTGGTGGTGCCAGGGGGGTGCTAGGGGACGCTATAGCTACCCCTGGATTAGTCATTGCACCCCCATAGCACCCCCAAGTAGATGTTAGATTTTTTTTATATATAATTTAATTTTTATTTAACGTGTGGATGTGATCATATTTAACATACAAAACAAAAATAATCAGTAAATTATCATATAGATAGTAAAAACTTAAACCAAAACAGGAAATTGATGTTAACCTTTGACCTCGTTTTCCACCTGCGAACGAGTGAAAGGTAGAGCTAGTGGTAAAATGGATTGGTTTTTGTTGCCCAAGTTTCCACGGATTCTGTCAGAAACGAATGAATGTTTGGAAGTGATCTCAGACCCACAAAAATCTACGGATCTGGATGAAGAGAGTCAACCCTCAACCGCCACAGCGGTCGAGGGTTTTGCCGCTGGAAATGCAAACACAAACGTTAGCTAACCTTGCAACACTATAGATGGTTTTCTGTGTGGCTAATGGTTTCATGGAAAAGCAGCGATTGTTCATATGTTTATGATGTATATTAATGATTGTTTCAGGTGTTGTTGAGGTTTTGTGCATGCTCGTGTATCTGTGTTGAAGGTGTTTGAGAGAACAATAGGTACGCATGACCACTTCCTTCATAGCACCCTTAATAAAAAGACTAGCTCCTTCATAGCACCTGCAGAAAAAAATTTCTGGAGCCACCACTGGCTCAGAGGTCATCCGACCTCGATGACCTCTGGATCCGTGAAGAGGGTCTCCGAAGGGTGAGGTAGAACACAGTGTGATTGCGTCTGATGCTTTTTGTTAAGAATCAACTTCATAGTGTCACGATACGGTGGTGTGGACCCAAAATGCAGTACCCAGGATGACACGGAGGTAGGGATGAAGATTTTAAGTAAAAAGTCTTTATTTGTGGGTGAGCCAAAAACCAAGGTTAATCCAAACTGTAAGTCAAAATCCAAAAGGCCAACAATCCAAAGGTCAAAAAGCGGATATTATCTGAGGATCAAGAAACTCTAGTTTAAACACAGAGGGACGAAACTGACAGAATCAAACAAACATTAATGGACCGACAAGAACACAGGGACAGACAGGGCTTAAATACACTGGGAGGAGCAATCAGGGAAACAGGAAGCAGGTGTGTGGGGTGAGCTGCTGGAGGGAAGGCAGGTGACACTAATCAACTCAATGGGGAAAACAGAAACAGAGGATGGCAAATACCTTAACACAAAACTAAACAACAATTTCCTAAAGACAGAGGGAAGGACTCACACAAACTAGCTGGAGGACATAGTACATACACACACTGAGCTGGGGACAATGAGGCTGGAGCTGACCTGGGAGGAAATAGTAAAGATAACATCAGACACTAAACTGACACCCAGAAAAAGGACACATGAGGGCGCCAAAGGGCTACAACATAAGACACATAACAGGGATGCAGACAAGGGCTGTGTCTGAATCCAGAGGTAGGATGCTTGTAAGAGCGCATTTTGAGGTCGATGACGTCAAAGCGCAGCGACGAGTACTGTCCGAATTCCAAGAATCCTCATTCTCGCGTCCTCAAACACGTCCTCGCTCCACCCACATTTCGAGGATGGGTCTGATGGATCCTCACAGGAGCAAGGGTATCCCAGCATGCTTTGCGCGCCGGCCGCTGGACTCGACACTCGCAACAACGGCGGACGGAGCGGGACAGCAGTGCAGCTTAAAATGTAAGTTAGTTAAAAAAAATAGCGGTCAAAAAATAAAATACGTGTTTGGGCACTTTTGGTTTGTTTTTTATATAAGATCTAATACCGCAAATTGTTTTTTCATGTAATTTAAGGCTAAAACATGCCCCACCGAAAACCAGCTTGAATGTTTAATAGGAAAAAACCACCGTAAACTAGCTTGATCCCAGCAGGCTTTTTAAAAGAAAATAGCGGTAGAAAACTAAGCTGAAAGCGGTTCTGTTTATAGACATTTTTCATTTGTATTAGTACATTTTAAGCAGAAATCAGCGAGAACGAGCTTGTATGGTGGTCCCGTCATAATTCCCGTGTGTGTGTGTTTATTTAGCGAATAAAGCTTCTCATCATTTGTTTTAAGGTTAACACCCCACCGTAAACATGCTTGAAAGTCTAATAGGAAAAAACTCACCGTAAAAGAGCTTGCATCTTATGTAATCATGTAACGAATGCCAAAAATAACGAAAACTAAGTTTAATGTTTATTTAAGTTAATTTTTAAGAAACCACATTACTGATTTAATGTTTTTAATTTCATTTTAGGCGGAAAAAAACACAGAACACAATTTTCATCTCCCATGTTGATAAATTAAAATATTGTTTATTGCATGTTTTATCAACTATGATTTATAATCTGACTTTGTTCTTTTATTCCTCTCTATTCTCATCCAGAACCAGTACCTTTAAGGAGCATCTGTAAATTCATTATGCCCACAGTGTTCTCTGTTGTTAAATGACAATAAAGCCTTGTAATTCTAATTCCCTTTGTCTGTAGGACTGCAAGTATCCAGGGTCAGGAGAGGGAGTCAGCGGAAAGCCCACTGCTGAAACCTGGCCCTGGTTTGTCCCCATGGACGAGGTGTTGGGACAGAGGCCTTCCACTATGCCTCCTGTCCTTATTGCTTCCATTCCCGAGGACACTCCAGGGCCAAGTGCAGCAGTGGGTGAGACAGAGGACAGGGAGAGTGGTGGAAGGAAGCCGGAGTCCTCATCAGGGAGAAAAAGGAGAAGGGCAGATGAGCTCCTTGACCTGATCAGGGAGGACATGAGACAACAGAGGGAAGCGGAGGAGAGGAGAGTAAGAAGGATGGACAGATTTTTAGCATTGATGGAAAGGATGGCAGAGAAATGGTTTTTTTTTATTTTAGTTTCTTCTGGTTCAGGTTCTATATATGTGTTTGAATGTTTTTGTTATTTGTTTAAATGTAATAAAATTTCTATTAATTGATAACTCTTTTTGGATAATTAACAGTTTTATTATTCAGTTTTTAACAAGTAACAACATAGTAAATAAATTGTAAGGGAACACTGTAAGGAATAAAAGTAAAGATAAAAGTAAAATATATACAGTAAACTTGGAAAGCAGGGAGTCTTTGGTGGTGTTGCTAAATCTACTAAACATGGATCGAGGTGGATGGAGTGCAGGAACCGAGATCCGTGGCTGAACGTTTCTGGTTGGCAAGTGGAACATCAGACAGAGTGGTCTGCAGAGGGTGCTTCTGGATGCCTCATCTCACTGACCACTGCATCGTCCATCAAAAGGGTTTGCTGGGCTGGCTCACTCGACGGCTGTCACATCACTAACATTCAGATATATGCAAAAAAGGAGATCATGAGTATAATACTTGTAACTCTAGCAGATAACAGGACTAAATGATTTTTAAACTTTAAATACAAAGGCCGGTGACGTTTATTGAGCCGTCGCAGCTCCTCAAAAACCACAAATAAAATGAAATATTGCTGTGGATCCATTTTCAACGTCACTACCAGCTTGTTAGCCTGTTTGCCGCCGTCACGGTAGCTAGGCAACTAGACCTGGGGGCGGGAATAAAAACGAGGCTAGTACTGTCCGAATTCAGAGCCGCTGACTTCTGGTTTTAGCGGTCTTGCAAGGACCAGGCCTTGCTAGACCAGCGAGGACCCTTACTCACAAGCATCCTACCTCTGGATTCGGACACAGCCAAGGACACATGAGGGCACTAAGAGAGCACAAGGGGAGAACCTGGAGTGGAGCACAAGAGGAGCTGGGGAACAAAGGGACACAAGAGGGAATCTAGAGAGGGATGGAGGACACCAGGAGGCACATAAAGGAGGGGGCAGATGCAGACCATGACACATAGCTTAACGCAAAACAAATTATTTTACACCCAGAACTCAGCTTTCCTAGATACGGAAGTTCTGATAACATTGCATTCACACATAGGCACCATATACCACATCTACTCCTTCTAGATTCATCCATCACAGTAAATGTTAGTTAATTTGTCATGTTTTAATTGTTTGGGAAATAAATTCTTACTTTTACAACACTGACTCTTTCCTTGAATCAAAACAAAGTGTTTACAATCCCTGAATGAAACTAAGAATCCTAGAATCTTCTGATTAAACACAAAAACCAAGCAGGTTGAATTTATATATTTATATATAGAATCACAGCTTATTGGTCATACGTAGAGGTAATATATTAAGCTCTTAAAGCACTCAATTTACCAAATCCTACAAGAAAAAGTCCTTTTCAGCCTTCTACAGATAATAGAGCTTCAGACATCCGCTGATCTCACAAAACCGTGACCCACGAAATCAAATCCTTCAGAACAAACAATCCATGTCTGAGCATCAGCACTGATTGTTTTTCAGAGAATGGTCAGAGACTCCAGAACCTAAAGGTTTTGTTTGGTTTCTAAATTAGAAATAGAAACATCCAAGCTGAGTAAAGCAGAGTCATCTGTTCTGATTAGACTGATTTTGCTTTGGTCATGTGACACTCTGACATCATGCAAGGTCTCTTATGCATCTACTTCTAAAACTGAACAAATCTGCTTCCTGACAGAAACATACATTTTCTGTTCAAATTCAAATGCATCAATGTTCAGTTCAGACATTTTTGAATGTTTCGGTCCAGAGCTGAACATAAAGGTAAAAGAACACCCCCTCAGGGAGCATGACCTGAATGAAAATACTGTCCCTGTAAGGACGTCTTATTGGGGACATTTTGGACAAAATCTTGAAGAGGACAGTGTCATCTTACAATCTGTGCACTGGTCCTTACATTGTCTCAAAAAAAGGAATTGTGTTTTTTCATGAACACTCCCCAGAACCAGCTTCTGTTTACTTTTTTGTTGTTTTTAGCTCCTTCCTGGTTTACCATTTCAAAAGGAAAGCTGCAGTCAAGTAGACCTTGTTTCATCAACTGTCAGTCAAACAAGAACTGGTCAACATCCTGGTAACAATTCTGCCAGCTCAGACTCATGGAACCTGATAGACCACTTACAGTGACGCACCTGAGCAGGTGAGAAGGGGTGGGGCTGTATTGTTTTTGTTTGTTGTGAAGCTCACAATACTCATTCAGTTAACCACACCTGTGTGTGTTTGTGTGTGTTTCATGTTTCAGTAGTGGTGCCTTCAGGGACAAGCTGGGAGAAACTAACTCGCCAGTTCAAGCTGTTAGGTTGGTCCGACAGGTGTTCCTACAGGTGCTGATCTGTAGTGATCTCCTGAGTCTCAGAAGCAGTTTCAAGAGTTCCTAACAATGAAGTCATGAAGGAATGTTTTAAGTGATCTTTGGGTTTTAATGTTGTTCAAAGCAGCAGATTACATTTATGTTTATGTATTTAGCTTTGACCCAAAAATAGCTGTGCAGTTATTTTACATAACAAGATGTCCAGCATGTGCTGTGTTATTGCTATCCCTCCTGTTCATTCTGATGTCTATATGGATGTAGTCTACCTACCACAATCATAACAAATGATACCATGTAACAGGAGGAGTATTTCACACCTTTCCTATAGATTAAACCTTCCTGTCTGCTTCAGCTGCCAGAAGACAGACAGGCAAAAACAAAACCGGCTGATGCAAATGAACAATGTCCTGCACCTGTGTAGCACCTTTCTGATTCAGAGGACTCCAAGGCACTTTACACTTCAGTAAATCATTCATCCATTCACTCAGACATACTGATGGTGAGGAGTTTGGGGTTTGAACCCCACTGATCACAGAGCAACCTCCCAGCTTCTGCCATCATCACCCTGTAGGTTCTAAACAGCTCCAGGATCCTTAAGCACATTCCAGGATGCTGTGTTTAGCAGACACCTGGGAGAGAGAAACATCCACCTGGTTCTCGGTTGTGATCCTGGATCTAGAAGCAGAAACCCATTTTTTGTTTGGATCTAAAAAGGGCCTCAGATGAAACTTATGTTCCTGAAAGATCTCAGCTTCTACAGGCAAAAATAAAAATCTTTCAACTCATATTTTAAAAACAGTATCAAACCTGACTGGATTCTGATCACTTGGTAAATGTAAGGTATAGGTAGAGGGTCAAAATTCATACTTTTGCCTTCAAGGTCCCACAGAGTGTGGGAACTTTAAGCTCAAAGTTTTTAACTCATTGCTTTTCTGTTTCTGAACAGATGAAAATCAGTTTAAATATGGAACAGAGTCTGTTCAGAGCTGGCTCTGTGAAACACACACACACACACACACACACACACAGACAGACACTGACATCATGGACTGAGTTGTCCTGCCATTACCAGCTAAGTCTAATTTAGATTCTAATTTCAAACTGGACCATTCCAAACCAGTTCTGAACAGGACCTGGATTAAAACCAAACAGTGAATCCACCATAACGACATGTTCACTAACTGATGGGAAGAACGCAACTTCCTCTTTGTGCTGGAACAGGAAATACACAGACACACACACAGTCACACAAATACACCGAGGTTCTACTGGAAAACTTGAGAACATTTAGCTCACCTGTCCATGGCGTTCCTGTCCATGTGCCCACCGATGGTGCTAATGATGTAACGGTGATGTCACAGAGTGTTCGGACCAGCATGTATGACCAGCTGGATGCCAGGGTGTGTGTGTTCCTCTGTGTATGTGTGTGTGTTCCTCTTTCTGGCGAAGCTGCAGTCTGACTTGTCCTCGGTTTGTCCAACAGGTTTGGCTGCATTTCACCTCAGAGCTGTTCATTGATTGGCCCACACTCACCTGCTCTACGCAGACAGGTAAGGTGGAACATCAGCAGAACATTTGCTTCATTAATATCCACCAATCAGCATCCAGAACTGGTTAGAACAGGAGGAACTGTCAAGTGTCTGCAGGGTCCTACTGCCTGCACACGCTGAACTCTGTCTTTTATTCTGAAAAGTTTTTGGAAGGAAATACAAATTATGGTAAAACGCTTTGCTCGTCTCATTCATTTATAGCTTGTGGTGGATCTACAAGGGGGCAACAGCCCCTTTGCTGTAAAGACTTGCCCCCCAAGTTCTGCGCTGTGGAGAGGTTTTCATCCAAGATGTCTCTGGACACTGCTGCATCCATCTTTACCTCTATCCTGATTAGTCTCCCAGTTCCTGCCCATGGAAAACATCCCCACAGCATGATGCTGCCACCACCATGCTTCACTGTAGGGATAGAAATGGCCTTGTGATCAGCAGTCTGGTTTCCTTCAAACATTACACCTGACATTCACAGCAAAGAGTTCAATCTTTGTCTCATTAGATCTGAAAATTTTGTTTCTCCCACAGTCTGAGAGTCCTTCATGTACCTTTTACCAACTCCAGGTGGGTTGCTATCAATGATTGAGTAAATAAGATGGACAAACCCTCTGTACCCTCTGTATTACTTGTACAGCTGAACTGAAGCCCAATGGACGGTTCCCATCACCGCCATCTTGTCCATGACACATGTCTCGTCATTCCCGGAAAATACAAAAATTGAGATGAGAGTGGGGCTGTAAGGGTGGGGTCAGTTAATTGACACTCAACAAACTCTGAGCGGATGTAGCTACAAGCTAACTGAGCAAACCAAAGCTAACAGAAGTTGGAGGGCATTTGCAGCCAGAAAATTGCTGTTGAGTGACTCTGCTACTATCTTCCTTCTAGGTGGCAACAGTTTGCCTGATTGGTGGATTGCTGCAGAAATGATTGTCCTTCTAGAAGGTTCTCTTCTCTCCAGCCCATTTCAGAAAACAATGCTGTCAATTTGCAGCAATGCTAAGCCTGCATGTGGGAGCCTTAGGTCATTTATAAGTGGTCAGACCTTGGCGATAATGTGGCGCAATCGTGTCCTTTTTACAAAAGCTTATGCAATGGCGGTACAAAGAGGATATGGAGGCAATCTCTGCACTGCCGCAGACTTCTGTTTATCTTGGACATAACTTGCTTTTTAATGCAATCAAAGCTGCACTCAGTTTCCTTCACAAGCTGCTCCTAAAGGTGTCTTTCCTCCACACTCCCCGTCCACTCTCTGTTCCAGCTCCAACGGAGAGAAGCTCCTGGAGCTCTGCATCGCTCCAGTTTATCATCTCAGCTGATTCTGTTAACAAAAGTGAAACTTATTGCCCGTGTTTACTTTCACTTCTAATATAGTTGCTGGCCGTAGCTCGTAATTTCACATGTAATCATGACACCACCCTCTGTTGCAACATGGCGTAATATGCATTCACAAGTCAGGCGTTGTGACAGTATTACTACCAAGCGTGCTGGCACAAATGCCGCAAAATTCCCGCATCGCCATGGTGCATCTAACAAATGCACCGTGGCAGCAGCATTACACTGATTTGCCAGCATGGTGTGTCTTCCAAAATGGGCTTAGAGGACATGCACCATCACCTGTAGGACCTTATATAGACAGGTGTGTGCCTTCAAATCAAATCCAATCAAATTAATTACCACAGGTAGAGTCCGATTAAACTGCAGAAACATCAAGGATGGTCAGTGGAAACAGGACGTACCTGAGCTCTATTTTAAGCTTCGCATCAAAGGCTGGGTGAAGGTGAGTACTTACAGCAGGTATAGAAAAGAATCACCCCTTTGAAAAGTTTTTGCTTCCTTACAGTTAAATTTTTTTTCTAAAATTTCTTTGATTTTTTTTTACATAACAATATTTTGAACCACCTTTTACTTGACCTTGGGTCTGTTGGGATACTTCTCTATCAACTTTGCAGATTAAATTGAGAAATAATTGCCCACTCTTCTTTATAGATCCATTTTAATTTTGTCAAATTGGATGGTAAGTGTTGGACAACAATCTTCAAATCTCTCCAGATTTTCAATGGGATTTAGGTCTGGGCTCTTGACGTTCCCTTTTTTCATTGAAATTTTTTTTTTTCATTTCTCTTTGTTATCCTCCTGAACAAGCTACATCTGTGGAGATCTTGTGAAAAAGTTGTCAAATGTACAGAATGACCAGTCTTTCACACAAAGTCCTAAAACTCTTTCAAAGTTGTTTTTATGCACCAGAGGATTTGTTTTCTTTATTCTTCCACAGACGTTAATGCGGCTCCAACAGCAGCGTGCACCACCACAAAAGTTGTTTTAAAACAACCGGCTCGGCCACGGGAGGTGTGCTATTGCTTTTCTAAGCTTTTCAATTTATAAAAGGTAAAATTGTTAAAAAAAAAAAATACATGAAAAAATTTTTCACTTTTGTGTGTTCATTACAATTTGGACAGCTGGAGCAGGCACGCAGATAGGGTAGGGGATGGGGGGATCTGTCCCCCGCAGATTCAGATCGATCCCGATCTGACCCCCCCCCCCCCCCCCCCCCCAACCAAGGCCAGAAAGAAAACAAAATCAGAGGTTAAGCGCTTGAAGCTCCTTTGTCCAATTACATTGAATGCGCATGACGTAAACAAACACCGACTCCAGAGGCGCCAAAGTGGTTGCTGCAAGGATGCAGGATGAAGCGAAAAAGGCAAGCAACGATTACTGCGTATTTAAAAAAGACCAACAGTGTAAGTAGGTGGGACCAATCTGTCTGTTTATGCATGTTGGTTCTAGTTTCAGTACATTGTTGTCAGTGTTGGGACTTACTCGTTAAAAGCGCCAAAGCCTAATTGCTGACTTTAACAAGTCTCATCTACAAATATGATCCCTCATGAAGTTACTACTTTACACCAGAAGATAGTGAAGATGTGGAACCTTCAGGCTGAGCAAAGTTTGGGAGTTTTTAGAGTTTGAAAAATGCTTCCCAAATCCCGCTGAGAGGCTCCCAGTCGGGTAGAGGAGGAGATGCGTGCAACACGAAGAGCGCAAATGTTAGATAAAACGTAGAATTGCCGGCAGGTCTGGTCTTTGTTGACTGACTTCTTTGTCTGGTCAAGACTGACTCCGATTATGAAGCAGAATATTGACTCTGATGAAGAAATTCACTCATCCAGGCAGCCGGGAAGATTGACGCTGCTGCAGCATCAGACAGCTGGTGCTGCACGAGAGGTGTGTGGAGTTTACAAGCTCCAAACGTTGGATTTGATGTTGGTTTAACCTTCTTTGGGACGTGATGGATGTAGAAATGATGGTAAAAACACGCAAACGTGAAAGACGTAGCGACAATGTAAAAAAAAGCTGTAAAAAAGAGGCAGATGCCGATGCGTTATGTTTGGAAGTCAAGTGTGTCACATAATCATAAAAAAGTAAAATATAAAATTTTAAGAGATTAATGTATTTATATGTAAATAAAAACTTTCCTCATATAATGAAAATTTCTAAATAACGTAAAAACACGAAGGAACATCTGTTGGTCAGGCTGAAAAGTTTGGGAACCACTGTTCTAAGTGATAAGTGAATTTAGTCTTTTTAATATATTTTATGTGCAGTTTTTTATGTTTTCTGTAAATATTGGTATGCTGAAAATCATTTAATGTTTTGCATAAAACATGAGGTTTTGGTTAGTAATTGATTGGGAGAATAACAAATGACTGAATTAAATAGTGGGGCGCCTCTGTCAGTGCGCCCCAGGGCAGCTGTGGCTACATCGTAGCTCATCACCATCAGTGTGTGAATGTGTGTGAATGGATGAATAATACACTGTAGTGTAAAGCGCTTTGGATTCCTTACTCTGAGAGGCGCTATACAAGTGCGGATCATTTATCATTTATAGTGTTGATCAGGCAGAGCTTTGTTGCCAGCGTTCATGATGCTTCATCCAGCAACAGGGTGTCCGTGACACGGTTTAAATGCTGGCAGAGGACGCTGCGGCTGCAGTATATAGTGACTCGTTGCATTCTCCGTCAACCAAAAGTCCTCACGTCATGCATTTAAGCTAAAATGCTAATGTTAACTTACCTTGCACTGGCTGTAGAGACGTGGGTGATGGTCACGCAGATGTGCCATTAGATTCGAAGTGTTGCTGCCTTCTGCAGACACTTGTTTCCTGCACGTTCTGCAAACGGGATAGCAGTCTTCTATTAACTGTCCCTCAGCATTTTTCAGAAATCCAAAATATGCCCATACTTCCGATTTAGTCTTCTTTGAGGGCTGATGGATGTCCTGGGCGCAGCCGTCTCCTCCTTCGGCCATTATTTCAGCTTCAAAGTTTTGGTGCCGTTGCAAATTAAAAAGTGCGTGTGCGCGCCGCGGGAACTTCAGCTGAAGCGACGGTGGCTGGTAAGGGTCATCGCGCCGAAACCGCGGCCACGGTAAACCCACCGAGATAACATAGTTTTTTAAAAACTGGACGGTTATTTTTATTGTCAACTTTTTTACCGGGGTTTACCGCTATACCGGTTACCGTGACAACCCTATGTGTGTGTGTGTGTGTGTGTGTGTGTGTGCGTGTGTGTGTGTGTGTGCGTGTGTTTGGGGGGAGGGTACATTGGAACTTCGTCGCCCCCCCAGTTTGAAAATCCTATCTGCGCCCCTGAGCTGGAGGGTCCCTTTAAAAATTTCGCCAGGGGTGTGCACCCCCACACGTCACATCAAAATGAGAAGCTCAGCCATGGGAAGTGTGGTATATCATGATGTTCATTATACGAGTGTTCAGTTTGTGTGTGTTCATTACGTGTGGTCCCAATTTCAGGGTGATCAAACGTCATATAAAATGTAAGACTTCAAGTGAGTAAAAAAGTTAACAAATGCCTGCTGAATTGTGACAGTGAGCATTGCGTCATTGACCATATGAGAACGCTGGTCGCTGTTTGTGCCACTTTGCTGTTTGAAATTATTTTATAACTGAATGATTTAGTGATTAAATTTTGCGTATGTCATGTCCAAAATCACACATCACCGTTATCGGTCAACGTTTCTCAGCAGACAAGTAATGCATCTTTCCAATAGATCATTAAAATATGTAATTTCAATAATTATACATAAATACTTAAAAATACATATTTTCAGAAAGAACAATCGAGACATTTCCCTGCCTTCTTCTCAAAGTTCTCATGCAGCAATGGATTGGGGGTAATACCCTTCGCCAAAGTCTGCTCCGATGCGGGCTTCAGCATAGTGCAGGTCAAGGGTCCAAAAGGGGCGGGGCTAAGATCCACACTTCGGGACACCCTACACACTTGCAGCCCTGGATGGGAATGTGTAATTGATGTGTGGACGTGCGAACATTAGTCTAGAATGTTGAACCTTTTCACATCATTTTAACTGTCTGAGATTTGGAGTTTGGGGTTTTCATAAGCCATAATCATCACATTTATAACAAATAAAGGCTTGAAATATCTGACTTTGCATGGAATTAATCTATCATGCATTAGTTTCACCGTTTAAGGCGAATTACTAAAATGAATGACTTTTGCACAATAATCTAATTTTTTTAGTTTCAACTGTAGGTGTACTATTATGAAGCACCGTATGAACGCCCACTCCCTAGAGGAGATTCTCTGTCTCAGTAAGAAAAACTCTGAAGGTTCTAAACAAAACTTCCTCCAGCTGTTCTTTGAAGACATTTCAGTTTTTATTTTTTAAACTGAAAAAAGAACAAAGAAAAAAAAACTGTTAGATCAGTGACACACCAGCTCCTGGACCTGGTTCTACTAGATCAGCTTGAACCAGTTATGGTAGAAGTGACTCTGCAGGACCAGATTAACCAGAATCAGCTGGATCTGGTTCTGGTGGATCAGCTCCTGTTCAACCTGAATCAACCTGTGATTATAAACAACCATCAACAGTAAAACCAGTCTTAATGTTTTGTCCTCGGCGTCTTTGTCATTCATAGACTTCTATGGATGCTGCAACAACCTCCAAGATGTCCTGATGACTGACAAGACGGGGGTCAGAGGTCATTAGTCCCCATCTTGCTAAACTTCTCCTGCAGGTCCTGAGCACTGATCTGAGGCAGACCTCCATCCAGAGGACATCCTTCTACCAGACTGTTCATGGGTGTTGGGGGGACCACAGACTCTTCTTCAGCATCTCCAAGGCAACCATCTCTGTCCCACTGGCTCAGGAAATTCTTAATAAGGGGGAGGACCTTCTTCCGGGATGCCAAGCTGTTCCCTAAAAAAGAAACAAAAGTGTAGAGTCAAACCATTGGCTGAACTTCTTCAGAAGTTTCACCTTCACCTGGCGAAACAGGTGAGAACTATACCTTGATGATAGGCTGATATGTGGAGGTGAGGACTGCTGATTGGCTCTAAGCTGAGATCGGGGTTACGGGCCTCTTCCAGGTACTGTCGCACCTGAAGAAGTATAAAAAGTACATCAAAATTGTCCTGACAACCTAAACAAAAAGAACTGACAGTGTTGTGTGTGACATACCTGATTTCTGCAGGTGTTGCTGGAGCTGAATACAGCCAGCTCTCTGATTGGTTCTTTGCTTTCAGTGAAGGTGATTGTCATCAGCAGCAGCAAATCAAATCCAAACTTCTGACAGAACGCTGAAAGCTCCGCCTCCAAATCAGCCCCCTGCAAAAACTCCTGATACACATACACACACTGTACTGTTGGAGTACTGGGGTATTACTGGTATAGTACTGTTGTAATACTAGTCTATTACTGGGATAGTACTGTGTATTACTAATGTATTACAGGTATGGGATAGTTCTAGTGTATTACTAGTGGAGTACTGGGATATTACTGGCGAATTACCCGTATGGTATAGTACTAGTGTATTATAAGTGTAGTATTGGGGTATTACTATTAGAATACTGGGATATTACTGGTATAGTACCATGTATTACTAATTTAGTAGTGTAGTACTGAGATAGAACTGGTGTATTATTAGTGTAGTATTGGGGTATAACTAGTGTAGTACTGGAGTAATAATACTGGTGTATTACGGATATGATATAGTACTGGTGTAAAACTAGTGTAGTACTGGGGTATTACTGGTATAGTATCATGTATTACTAGTGTAGTAGTGTAGTTCTGGGCTAGTACTGGTGTATTACCAATACATTACGGGCATGATATATTACTGGTGTAAAACTAATGTAGTACTGGGGTATTACTAGTGTAGTAGTGTAGTACTGTGATAGTACTGGTGTATTACTAATAGTTCTGGTATAATACTAGTGTAGTACTGGGATAGTGCTGATGTATTATGACATTAGTAATACACCAGTATTATACTATACCCATAATACATTAGTCTAATGTGTTATGGGTATGGTATTAAGTGCTCTATTAGTATAGTACTGGTGTATTATTATTATACTACTGGAGTATTACAAACGTAGTACTAATGTATTTCTAGCTTACCTCCAGTGAGATGTACAGAACAGAAACTGCAAAATTTAAGCTTCTTGAAACAGTTTTCATGTCCTTTAACAGCATCTGCTCCGTATTCAGACCTAAAGACAAAAAACCTGACATAAATACCAATGAAAAAACTCAAAGCTGTAACATAAATACTACAGCAGGCACTTTATATCTTGAGCATGTGTACTAGAGCCCAACATTAGAGCTGGGTCCTGCTGGACGTACATTTCTTGAAAGCAGGTAACTAAAACTAAAGGGTCTTCCATCACCTACTCAGAGCGACTCCAATTAATTTGGTTTGGTTGGACAGCATTTCCATCTGTAACTGGTCCTTGGTCACTGCACACTTTTCAGTACCTGCTTTGATGTGGTCTCAAGCTTAGCTGAAAATGGGACATCAGTGACTGTCGGTCACTGATGGGCTTAGGGTCACTGATGGGCTTGGGGGGGGGTTACTGGTTTCTCCAGATCTGTCCGCCTAACTGCCTGCAGCCTTTTTCAGTTTCAGAGTCTGATAAAAAGCTACTGACAAAGCAGAACGTTCAACATCACCACCATGTCCTCCATAGTTGTGGTGTGGAGAGTTTTTGTGTGACTTACACATCACGTTGTGCTACTTTTGTGCTGGGTTGAGATCAACTCACGATTGAGGATGCTACAAGAGACACATGAAGCTTTAATACATCTATGTGAGTGGATATTCAAGCTGGAGCAGAGTGGAGTAGAACATCCCCTTAGTCATTTAGAGGAGCTTCTAGATGGAGCCGTGTGAAGAGAGCCTAGTTTTAGAGACCCAGAGGGTCTTCTGGACCATGAGATGGACTCATCAGTTGGACCATCCTGATGGAATTGCTGCCTTGTCATCCAGCACACTGGGGTTTCAGAGGGAGCTGCTAGCTGTCCAGGTCCATTCTAACGAGCAGCATGTTGGGAATAGAATAGCTGGAACACCAGTTTCAGAGCGTTCTACCAATCCCCTCCAGAGCTGTACCTTTGTAATAATTCCTGATCTTATCCATCCTTGTCTCACCAAACTGAACCTCTGCAACCTCCAGCTGTGCCTGCTGTCTTTCCCTCAGCTGTTTGTCATGATCCAGGGGACAGCAAGCTCAACACAATTTATTGTCCTCTACCTCTTTTGGAAGCGTCTCCAGCTCTACTTCTGTAACGCATCTCATGATTGCTGTGAGGAGACATGATGTATAACGGCCCAGAGAGGGGAATCACTCCTGCAGAACATCCTAGCAGCAATTGGCATATTTAGATGGAGGAGTGTCCCACCTTGATCAACTATGGGTGTGGACCCTTGTGGAGGAACAGCTGGATACATCTGGATCTGTCTGAGCGCATCATGCAGGTTTTGTACACGAGGGACCTGGTCTGGGTTCAGTTCCTAAGGACGACTTAAATTGGCAAGTGAGGAGAGATGTGCCTGATCAAGGACTGGGAGAAGAACTGGACTGAGGAATAGCTAGCTTAGACTCAGGAGTCTAAAGCCTTGTGCAGTAGGAAACTATAAATGGATCTTACTTTATAGGCTTGTAGCGCCTCCCACAGGGAAGCTGGGTGAACAGCACATGTCAAGGTGCTCTAGTCTTTTCTCATGTTGTGGACCCACCAGGTGGAAGGTCCTGTTTAGATTTTATTACACTATGGAGTTCCTTTCTCTCCTGTGTGGTGCAGTTTCCATGTCACACTGTGATGGAGATGCTGGGAGCATTGTCTATAGAGATCGTAGTTGTCACGACAAAGGTTTAGAACTTCCTCAGAAAGGAAACTAAGAATGAACTACATCAGAAAACTGCCAGTGGAGCGGTTGGCTGAACTTGTGCTGTCACCATCCCGTCAAAGCTTCATTCCAATGAGGGTGAGTGGTGTTATGGGTCCAAAGGATTAAGGCAATTTGACTGAAACCTTTTCAGTAATTTTAGGTCAATGATTAGGTATAGAAACCAGCCACTAGGGCTCATTTGTTCCACCCGTTTCTTCTAGGTTGTTCTGGGTCCTTCTTAGTCACATGTTGGAGGTGCCGTGCTGATGTAGAGGGACAACCACGCTCAGGAGCAGGTGGAACACAAACTCACCTGAAACATTAAACTTGGCATTCTGCAGCGCCTGGAAGAGGGTGTCCCTTAGTGGTAGAGAGGGGAACCGCAGCTCCAGTGCTTCAGCATGCTGGCTGTCTCGTGGGGTTACTTTTCCTGCTGCAGGTAACATGTTGACACAGTCCAGCACCACCGTTGCTGCACACACGAAAACAAATCAGTAATCTATGTTTGCACCTAATCACTGAGCTGTGGTCAGCATCTCAGAGGCCTGAGATGTGTCAGGTTGGTGATCAGACGGTGTGTGTGTGTATACCATAGAGCAGATGAGCAAGCTGCAGGTCCAGGATTTGTGGAGCTTTCTGGATGATGCGCTCAGTTACCAAGGTAGCACAGGACCCTACCATCTCTATGGTGACAGAGCAGGAGGGGGAGGGGTTTCGCTCCAGCAGGTGGTGGTCTATTACCTCCACCACCGCACCTTCCAGGTATGAGTCTGAACTGTAGAAAAAAAAAAGCAGCTGATCAGACCAACACTCTGTTTCTGTATGAATCCTGTACAGGTATAACGTGGCACACCAAGAAGCTGCTGTACTTGTTTGTATTGACAGCTACCTGTTGTGTGGAAGGAGCTCACCTGGGCAGGACATTGTGGTCAACGAGCGTCAGTCGTAGGCGGCCACCATGATGCAGCATCCGTAGGTCCAGCTGGTCCCTGAACAGTAGCAGGTCTGGAGACAACCCAGTCTCATGCAGCAGGAAGAGGTTATCAGAACGCAGCAGCAGATCCGCCTGGCGGATGTTCAGCAGAGGCAGAACAACCTCACCGTCTGTTGTCTGAGACAGGCACACGGGAAGGCAGGGAGACAGGAAGGGAGAGACAGAAATTAAATGCAAAAGTGAGACTGAATGAGTCACCATTTTCTTATTAAAATTGTGACTTCAGAAATTGTGATCATGTAATCGCCAAAAGATTCGTTTTTTCCCAGAGATCCTGACTGACCCAGGATATGTTGTGTCAAACTATTTTACACATCTAGGTTTTTCCCCGAGTTTTTAAGTGTTGGGTGGGAGCAGCGAGTGCTGGCGAGGCAGGTCTCAGGGTTGCAGGAGCCCAACTTTCAGAGTTTTTGTCTTTTCGTGTTGCTGCTACAGTCAATGTTTGTTATTCATCTCGGTCGCCCGTGATCATCTTGGAGCACCTTTGGTTGTGTGCAAGGAGAAGGGACAAAGAGGATGGATGACCCGCCGGCTTCCTTCAACAGCAGAGAGGAATTTACTGTAATGAGATGCGAACGCTATGTAGAAAAACAAATGTGCGACCCAGATAAATGTCCTGGCATTGTCCTCACTTTAGCCAACTCCTCCACGAGAATACACCAGCAGAACAAAGGTATGCTTTTACTAAAACAGTGTCTGAATGAGCAGAATGAGATGTTCCGTTAAGGTTCTGATCTAAAGGATGAGAACGCATTTTTAAAGTAAATGAAGCAGGACTTTCTATGTAGTGATTAACGACATCCCACCTGTGCTCACCTTGAACAGGAAGTAGGCAAAAGCCAGAGCACACACCATGGAGTCGAGATCACAGGCCTCATTCCCAAGAACAACATGGAACATCGGACCGCCCTGATCGGTGTTTTCCTGGAGAACAAAGGGATAAACACTAGAGGTCACTGCAGAACCTTAAAAATCACAATTCAACAGAATTGAAGATAAAACGTTCCTTCAGTCCTGAACCAAACCTTCAACATGCAAAGTTATTTGCTTTTGTTTTGTTCCACTAAGTAATGATTGCGTTATATGAAAGAAGCCACATTAAAGTGTTTGTAGTCCTGGACTTATTCACACAAAACCTAAAATAGCGTTTCCTCCTGTTCGAAAATAAGCGCATTCTTGGTATCAAAATGTCTTTAAAACTTCACGAACATCATATGTGAACTCTATGGCACATAACAAGCATAATTAGAATATAGCGTTTTTAGCCCCATTGACTTGCATTCATTTTTTCGTTCTTCTGAGGAGCGCCGTTTGGAATTCTATGATGTCCAAGGAAGAAAGATCCCATCTTTCTCGTCTCTGATTGGCTAGAAGGGCTCCAATACAATTGGCTAATTCATTTAGCAGCAAACCGACAGTCCTCGCTAAGTGCAGACTGTCCTTCTGCCACCAGCAGAAAGCTGTTTTGGGGAGTTTTGTAAAGTGGTGCTATAATAACCATTCTGTCCTGTTTTGCAAAACATTTTACGTTTTATGTTTCATACAAAACTGAAAAACTTAGTGTGAATTTATAATCTTGTTGCATTTATCTAACTGTTGGACTTACTTTATATCTCTTGGCTCTCAAGCATTAAAGTGCATAGGATAAACATATGTGCCTTACCTGGGAATGAAATTTAATAAAACTGCTCTATTCTACCCAGTTGTGTGCATCAGGTCAGTTTCTTTTCTAGAATAATGAAAACTGCTGAAAAATAGGTCTAAATAATCATCAGCTTCAACTTAATTTTTGATTGACACACATTTAATCTGATAACGAGATGTGCTCTAACTTGTAAACAGCCTTAACCTGTTAAAGTGAAGACATAGGATAGCCCAACAATTAAGTAATATAACCCCAATAGTCAACAGATAAAAAGTCAGTCTATAGTGAGATAAAATGCAACAAAATTTATTACAAGTTCACATTTGACGTTTTCAGGTTCTTTTAATGAAAGAAACTGAAACTGGTTTGTTGCAAAATAAGAAAGGATGTTTATAATAGCAATGAGTTCATATTTTCTTCAAAAATCTCATCAGGATATGGCTGTAAACATAAAAACCTGCAGCGCAGGAAAACGGATTCCTCTTACATGAAATAGTCAATTGCAGGAGAGCCCTTCCAGCCAATCAGAGGCGAGAAAGGGACCTTCCTTGGACATCCTATCAATTGCGGCGACCCACGGTCCGGAAGTAGATAGGGTGATGGCTACAGCTAGCTTAGCATCACGAAACTGAACAAAGAACTGCTTTAAAAGTAAAAGTTGCATAAGTCCATTATATGAATTAACGGAAAACAGGAGTAAATCGGTAACGAGCTGTACCTTCACAGTCCTCCGGCAGCTCCGCAGAAACGCCTCCATCTGCGCTCCGTTAGCTCCCAACTGCTGACGCTCCGGATTGCCGCTGTAACCACCAAACGGATCCGGTAAACGGGGACAGGGGACTCACCTTCGGCAGCGGATTGCCGGTTTCGTACCTGCTCGTGAGTCTGTGCTTGTTGGTCAGGTCAGCTTCTGCAGGCGGCGGCTGTCTGTCACGTGTTGGGTAAAAGGTTAGGACGCATTCAGGGACACGTCTATGGGTCGTAAAAACACTGGACACTGGTCAAGTGGACAGATGTACTAGGACACTTGTTGATGTGCAAAAAAATTCTCTGAATAAAAATCATTCTTTACCTTTACCATATACAAGAT